CTGAACCGCCCAAAGTTATTCGGACTTGCTGATCTCCGGGCCCCTGCGTGGGCTGCTGCCCGACCCCAGCTGCTCACCTGCTTGTCTGAGCACAGACCTGCCTCCTCCGGAGCCCCTTCACTCTCATTGCTGGAGACTGAAAAAGGTCTTAGGGGCTCTGTATGCTGTGGGGATGTTTTCGTAGGAGATCAGAGCAGGAAGGACGGCGAAGATCAGCTAGTCCAGTCTCTCCTTAGCAGAGGAGAAACTGCAGAGGTACTTTGGGGCCAAGAGCTACCCTAGACCTCCCCTCAACCATCTCCATCAGGGTCACTCCTCCCTTCCCCTTTTCATAAGACACTGGCCTGCCTGACCTGCCAAGACAGCAGGACCTGCGATTAGTGGGTGACGTACTAGGCTGCTGATTTACGGGAAGCCAAGAGAGATCTAGCCAGGCCGCCACTGGTGCATGGGAAGCACACAGGTTCTGGAATCCAAAGACTCATGTTCAAGGCCCACTTCTTCTCTGAGCCAACGGGCAAGTCACGTAGCCTCTCTGACCCTCGGTCTCCTCCGTCGTAAAAGGGGAGTACAAATGGCTGTCTCCTCCCCAGGCTGGTAGGAGGGTCATACGAGGTGATAGATGGGAAAGTGCCTCCTGAACAGTTCAACATTCAAGATGCAAGGGAACCTTCCGACAGAGGGGAGGAGCCGGGGAACGTCGCACCGGAACCAGGCTCCAGTGCTCAAAGTCAACGGCGCACTCTGCCTAATCTCTCATGGACTGGAAGGTGCTGGGCTTGTAAATATTTGCTCCTTATGGCCGGACTTTCATGAGTTTATCGGCCTGGCTGATAAGATACGCTGCCCCGCTGGGCGAGCGCTGGCAGCTGGCGCTCTGCATTGCAGGTGACCTCTAGCCTCACTTTTTAAAGCCGAGCAAGTCGGTACAGCGGCTCTCAACTTACAGACTGGAGGGGCGGCGGAGGGGACTCCGAAACGAATTCTCTTTGTTTCTGGATCCCATGTCTAGAGTTGACCGGAGCTCGGAGTTAACACCTTTCATGCCAGATGGTGCCGCGTCTCCGCAGGCTCCACCTGAGCTCAGAACCCAAATGGCATTGAAAAGACTGGAAGAGAGTACCCTTCCCCTTTAATTAAGCACAAAATCTCCATATCTATTTCAGCCTCTGAAAAGTGAAACCCAGGAAGGCAGGTTCCCGGCGGAGAGGAGAGGTGTGCGGAATTAATATTCCATCTCCATTTTTCCCGTGTAACTCAATAAGTGGAATGAGCTTATCGGGGGACCCGGGCTGCACTGAGCCACCAGGTCAGCAGGGCTCACACAGCCGCCTCGCTTCCCAGTCGACAAAGCTCTCAGAGCGGTCGCCCGTCAGGAGGCCGCGCCGTGAGCTGGGGTGAAGGTGAAAAGCTGGGACCCGGCCACCTTGCTCAGTCACAATGTCACCGCTGGGCAGCATGTCCTTCCTCCCTCAGACGCTGGTGCCGCCTGACCTGGGCTCTGAGGCGGGAGGCCCACATTGGCCCCAACTTCCACCTCCCGCAGCCTTGAGCTTTTCTAGAACTCTCCTGGACTGCCCTGTGCTTGGAGAAGACGGGCAGCTGCCTCGCCGGGCCCCAGCAGACCCCCTGCTTCCTTCCTCTATCTGCCAGCCAGCGGCCGGTCCCAGCGCTGCTTGTCTCTGGAGCTGCAGGGCTCTCGAGGCGTCTGTTTCATAAAACAAGATTCTTTTAGAAAACTTGAGAATCTCTTCAAGGGAATTCTTGGAACCCAGTGTGGGAAACACTACTCTGGGTGGTCAGCTCTTTTTGAACATCTACTGAGCTTTTGATCAGCACTTGGTGAAGGGGAGGAAATACCAAAATAGATTTTCCCCTCCGTATAATAGAATTCTAGAGCTAGGAGGAATTTGGGAGATCAAGTAACCCCCCCCTTTATATTCCTATAGAATGTGTGCGTGTGTGAGAGGCACCCTCCGCGGGGCTCCCTCCGCATCCCCTTCCTCCAGTCCTGCAGGGACCCCACATGGGGATTCTGGGCACACACGAATGCACCTGACATGTCTTCAGGCCAACAGGGCCGGAGACTCAAACCACCGCCAGCCTGTGGCACCTGGTACAGGAGGACCGCACCACCGAGGCCGGGCCTCCGATCCACCCTTCTATAGACAGAGAGACTGAGATCCGAAGAGGAAAAACGATCCAGCTAATGAAATCTAGTAATTAAGTCGGAGCCAGTGGAGCTTCAGATCAGGACTTGAGAAAAACGCAAAGGAGAGAAAGAAGACAGGAAGGAAAGAAGGAAGGGAAAGAAAGAAGAGAGGGAGGGAGGCCAAAGGGAATGGAAGGGGCTAGGAGGAAGGGAGAGGCGAGGGGAGCAAAGAAAGGGGCAGAACCCCTCGGCTGCAGGAGGACCCGGCCTACGTGTGTGGGCCACGGAGGAAGTGGGTGTCCTACTCCTCTGGAACATAACCCTGCTCTGGGGTTCCCTCTGGGGTCTTGTTAGAATGTCCATCCCTTGAAACTCACAGGCTGGCCTCTCCCAGGGGGGTGGTATGTCTCATTACAGCGACTGAAAGCAGAGGCCCTGGAGTCAGACAGACCTGAGTTCAAGCCTTGGCTCCAGCCAATTACTCGAGCGTCGAGGTGCCTCGGTTTCATCGTTTGTAGAATGGGGATGATGGCAAGCACCTCCCAGGGCCAATAAGGTCACGTTTATAATATCCCTGACACCGGTCACAGCAGAGTGGACGCTCGAGGAAGGCAGGGACTCTGCTGCGTTTCTGGCTGCATCCTCAGATTCTAGGACACGCCCTTCTCAAGGAGTAGTCGGTACATACACACAGCACGGACGAACGCAGCGTCTGGTCTTGCGGTCATTGTTCTGTAATGGCTATTATTATCCTGGCCCGTTTTCTCACTCCATTCACCTTTCCTTGCCTTCTCCTGGACTCTGTGGTCTTGGCCAACTTGGCTCATTTTTACCGCTGGCATCGGCGTGTGGGTGTGCATCCCCCCACACACACATGCTCACACACACGCACACAGGCTCACACCTGCCCAACCTATGCTGCTGTTTCTGTCTTCTCACCTGCAGGGGGAGAGGGAGAACCGTGAGGCTGAGCCCAGTTCCTGCCTTCCCTGCCCAGCCCCGCCACCCGCACCCTCTGCCCCTTTCAGGGTTCAAGCTGCCGCTCCTGCCACCCTGGCCACCCGTCTCTCACTCCCTTGTGTTGCCTAATAAGTTGGGGGTGGTAAAAGAAAAAAAAATCCCATCACTATTTCACTATTTTCTCCTTTACCAAAGAAGGCCGTCCACTTATTTTTGTTTTGTCTGATTCAAAATGGACTCATGCAATTCCCTTCTGCTCTGACAAATGGGGACCCGCAGCAAAGAAGGAAAGAGAGCCAAAGTGAAAAGAGAAGGGTCAGAGGCTTTCTGGAGATTTATGAAGTTCCCAGGCGAGCACAGGCAGCTGGATGGTTCTCTGCTGTGTCCAGGCCTCAGGTTTCAGGAAAACACAAAGGCTCTGAGACGCGCCTCCTTCCAGTCATTGGGGTGGAGCTGGTGTTTTCCTCTGTGTTAGTTCCCCATTTCCCTCTCCTTCCGAGACAGGGCAGGGGATCACGGGGAGGCCCTTTCCTTCTTCCTTTGGGGTCTAGGACGCTGGGGCAGAACACAGAGATGATAATAATCCTTCTTCTCAAAGCACATTCTCGCTTCTTTTTTTTCATCCATGCGGTTAGAGGTATATTTTATTAATTAATTTATTTTTTAGATTTGTTTGCCATAAGGTGTGTGTGTTTGCCAGTGAGAGACAGAGAGACAGAGAGGGAAAGCGAGAAATCACACACGCACACACATACACACACACCCAGGGTGTGGCCTGGCCACAATCCCTTCTTCATTCTCCTCTGGGGATCTTTGGGCACACACGCACATGCGCTCCAGTTTGTTTTGAGGCCTCCAGGTCCTGGACTTGAACAGTAGAGTTAGCAGCATGGAATCCAGTGCCTTAACCACCATGCCACCTGCTAGCCCCAGCCATGGAGTTGGAGTTTTAATTCACTTTGAATTAGTGATCTTCTGGAGGAGAAAATGAGTAGGAAATTGATAGTCTAGATCATAATATAACAAAAATAACTCAACCCTGCAAATTAACACAGACCTACAAGCTGAAGCCCGAAAGAATCAGACCACAGGAAAATAAGAATCGGCTTAATAATAGAAAATAATAATTAGATATAAGGCCTATGGTCTCCCACAATCACCTGTGGTCTGCCAAAGGCCGAACTGGCGTGACCTCAAGATAAATTGTAAAGGGCAATTTCTGGTCAGGCACGCTAGGGAGGTTCACGTGTGTGCTCCCTCAGTGTACGTGACTGAAAACCAGGTTCTGTTTGCTTTCTTCTTCCTTTGAATGATTTCAGTGAACAAGGGTCTCAATGTAGCAAATTAGTGAAACGCTGGCTCTGTTCAAATCCGTGGCTTCTACCCCTTTGAGGCTGGCCTCCCGTTTGTACTCAGTCCTCGGTGCCTGATGCCAAGTAAATTCCCAGCCCCGGCCCCAGCCCTGGCCAAGCAAGGAGGCCAGGTGAGGTGATCCACCCCGTGTGGCTCCAACGGGCTGAGGCAGGTGGCAGGAGAGTCGTCCCACAATTCCGGGGATGCACCTACCTAACCAAGAATGTGTAGTGGACGGTGAGTTCAGCGAACTGACGCAGCACCCTAAAGTGGCATCGAGGCAAGTGAGGAGCCAGGACATCACAGAGCTGGGGGTGTTCTCCCTGGCCTGGCCTTGGCCCTCGAGGCATACCTCTGCCTCCGGCCACAGGAACTTCGAAGCACTAGCTGCCTAGTGCAGTGTCTGCTCTGTCCTGCCCCTGACGTGGGTGCCCACTGGTCTCCCGCTCATTCTTCCTGGGAATTGGCTCCAGCTCTGCCTCAATGCCTGTCTCAGAAATCCCATAACCCCAGCCAGCCACCAAGACTTACCCCTCCCTCAGTGCCCAGGGCCACCTCAGTCCCTGTGCTGTACCCAGCTAAGAAGCTGGGACCCCTGGCCGGGGCGGGATGTGGAAAAGCAGTGGTGGGAACTAGAGGATGAAAAGCGTGGGTCAAAATGGACCAAGAGCATGATCTGAGTGAGTATTAGAAGGTCGAACACACACTCCCATGGTGCATGGTGTGAGCGGGCTAGGCTCTCCATAGGCCAATGGTAGCAGGTTCGGACATTAAATTGATTTCC